AGGTGGATATGTACTCACCTTGAAATTTGAACTCTCTTTAATTAGTTATTTATCTTATTGATGGGTATTTATCTTAAAATTTTATTTGTGGCCACCCATTCAGAAATTTTGTGTTATTAACATATGTGTATTCATGCTAAAAAATATTTATAGATCTGCAATTGATTATATTTATATACAATGGTGAAAAAAAGAAACGAAGTAAAAAATGAAAATTTAGCTCGAATCTAAGGGATTATTGATGGTATTTATCTTAAAATTTTTTGTGGCCACCCATTCAAAATTTTGTGTTATTAACATATGTGTATTCATGCTAAAAATATTTATAGATCTGCAATTGATTATATTTATATACAATGGTGAAAAAAAGAAACGAAGTAAAAAATGAAAATTTAGCTCGAATCTAAGGGGACATTTGGTTCACGAAATATAAGATTATCTTTGAGAATATGATTATTGGAATGTAACATTACTCTGAGAATGTCATATTACTTTATTTGGTTTGTTTAGCATGAATGTAAGATTATAATGTTTGGTTGGAGGAATATAAGATTGTTTCGATGCATATTTTATTAAATTGTCCTTGTGATATATGTTCTTTTTAATAAGTTAAGCTTTAATATTAAATTATAAATATTTGAATGAAAATTTATAAAAATATATTTTAATTGTTACACTATCTAAGTTTAAAGAAAAAACATCTAACATATAATTAATATAATTAGTATATCAAACTTATATTTTAAATAATTTTCATAAATGTCACATTTATTTATATAAAATATAGTATAATATGAAAAATAATATTGTGCTTTCGAGTGGACAAATATATTATTTTTCAATGTATAAGATCTATTTTTTAATAACTTAAAATTAGATATTATTTTAAATAATTATATTTTTACAATAATGACATTTTTGTCTCATAAAATTATAAAATGATTATTATACTAAATATTAAAAATATAAAATAATTTTAACTACTCAAATTTATTAATATTTTACTAAATCAAACTCTTTGTATATTATTATTATTATTATTATTATTATTATTAAGTTTAAAATTTTTAGTAAACTATGAAGAATAAAAAATAGTACATTCTCACCATCCAGCTCAGTTGGTAGAGCACAAGGTTTTTATCTTTGTGATCGTGGGATCGAGTCCCACGGAAGGCATTTCATAATTCGGAGGTCTCCTACGGAAGCTTCTCTCAACCTAGCGTTGGGGGCAGCCTACTACCTCCCCTTACCCCATTACATATGGGAATAAAGGTCAGCTAATATGAAGAATAAAAATTTAAAATAAAAATTTAAAAAGATCTATATAGAAAGAATTCATTATTTCAAGTGTATTTATATCTAAAGTGGTAGGAATTATTCGTTACCTAATAATTTATAGGTAATGACATTCTCACCATTTTAATCAAAAAATATTACTATCAATAATAATTTATTATTTAATAATGATTTTTTTCGTAAACTAAATGTCTTAAAAAGTTATACAAACAGAGATTAAGATTTGTATAATTTAAAGATTAATAATCTCAAAAGTTACTCAGACTCCCTCAAAATGACAACACAAATAATATATTTATTTTATAAATAATTGAAGGGTTCAATTATTATTTTTAAATAAATGAAAGAGCATAATAACATGATGGTCGGCGTAGAGCGGCAGTTGGGTCAAACAGTGTGGAACACCGTGTTTTAAAAATCGGATCGGATCGATCGGTTTAATCGGTTTAATCAGGAATCGTTATCTAGTCCGGTTCAATCTTAGACCGGTTGAACCGTTACTAGTGAACCGTCCAGAACTGCTGAACCGTTTAAATCGAACCGGCTGAAAACTGGAAAAAACCGAAAAAAAACTACCAATTTTTTTTTAATTAAACCAAACGACGTCATTTGTTAAACGAGACAAGTCGAACTCGAGTATTGTTGAGCTCGACTCGAACTTGAAAAATTTAAAAGTAAGCTCAACTCGACTCAAACTCACGAGCTAAAAATTATCAAGTTTAACTTGAACTCGAAATATAATATTGAAACTTGAACTCAAAAAGGCTTGAACTCAAAAAGGAATTAGATGCTCGATTGAAGCCTAAAATTCGAACTTGATCGAAGTGAAAGAATAGTTCACTCAATGCTCACCAAAAGGCTCCATGATTTTGAATGTCAAATTACCTCTATTATTTATAGAAGTTTGTTGGGATGATATTTTATGTTTCTTAGTCATGTGGAATTGTTTTTAAAAAAAATTAAACCAAACAATATTATTTTGTTATGATTTTTTTAGCCCCAAATTTATTTTTTTATTATAGTTATATAATTATATTATTATTTAATATATTTTACCTTAAATATTATGTTGTAGTTAATTTGAATCATTTTGTTTCACTTGATTTTATGGTTTTTAACTTATATATGTTATGACTTGCTTTGAATATGAATTGTGATATAAAAAATTATTTTTTATTAAATATTTTTGGTATTTTTATTTAATTTTTTAAATAATTATGATGTCGTCCGATTCTTCCGACCGGTCGGACTAATTCAACCGGTTAAATCAGTAAACCGGTAATATGATCGGTTCGTTAACCGATCTGGCCATGGTGGAACACTCCAAATATGACTTGAAATTGTGAGCTTTGACCAACCCATCCACATTATTTTATTTTTTTAAGGACATCCACATTATTCAGCTGCAAATTGCGTCTTTTACCGTTTTTTTTTTCTTGGGTAACCTCAATACATGGTATTTTGATTATAGAATATTATTTTATTAAGTATCTTGACTATTAAAATTATATTATTTTATTAAGTATCTTGACTATTAAAATTATAAAATGATCCTATGATTATATGACATTGATTTGTTGAGTCTCTCGAATGTTAAAAGTTATAAAATGATTATCCGAATATTCATATGTTCCAAACTCATCATTTTTCATTAAAAATTTAATGGTCGTTTCAGCTGGACATTAACATACTAACTGAGATATGATGGTCGTTTTAGATTCTGGATTTGATTTTTAATGAAAAATGATGAGTTTCGAATATATGAATAGTTTGGTGATCATTTTATAACTTTTAATAATCAATGTACTTAACAAAGTAATACTCTATAGTCGAAGGATCAATTTGTAATTTTTAATAGTCAGATGACTCAACAAAATAACATCCTATAGTTAGGAGACCATTTGTGTACTTTACCCTTTCTTTAATTATTGTTAAACATAAACATGCACCCCTTTCTTTTTTAATAATTATTATGAAAGTTGATTTTTTTTTAATATAGACATAACGTTTAATAATTAAACCAAATCCTCAAGTTTAAAAATTGTATAAAAATAATGAAAATCAAATTATAATGAAATATCCATATTTTATGTAATTATTGTATGTAAATTTTCTCTTAAATTTATTAAGATTTTAAATTTTATTATATTGTATTTGCTCGAGATTAATTAAAAAAAAGATAGGACAATTTTTTCTATTAATTTAAAAATAAAAATATTCTCTTTTTTTATAAAAAAAAACACACACACACACACACACATATATATATATATATATATATATATATATATATGATATATATATATATATATATATAAGCAAGAAATTGATTTATGAGCACATAGTAAAAGCAAACCACACAAATATGAGGCAACAACGACATTATCATCCAATGTGGTCCCTTAACCTAAAAGTAACATAATTATTAGGGCACATTACAAATTTTAGTACTCCAACAATATTTTTTTTTGCTTGTCATTTAATTATTATTTTTTTAAAATCATATCTAACGTTATGTTTTAATTTTATTTTGATCACTCAACGTTAAAAAATTAACAGAATTGTTAATGTATATTTTTTATAAAAAAAATAATGATGAAATGGCATTACTTTATGGTGATATGTCAATATCACCGTTAAATTTTCGATAGTAAGTGACCAAAATGAAACTAAAAGTAACGTTAGATACGATATTGAAACAAAAAATAGTTGGTAGACAAAAATAGAATAAAAGTGATAGTTAATATACTAAATACTCAGTTTACCCTTATTATTATTTAAAATAAAAAAGAGAATAAAATCTTACAACCCGACAACTCACCCTCTGTTACCTATTCAGATAAGAACAAGCTAAGAAACTTCACTGCACTTAACGGTTACCGTCACAGCAATCCACCCTCTATTTTAGTTGGGCCTCACCTGACCCGAGCCACCCGGTATCGCGGGACCCATCTGACGCGTCAATACATAGTAAATGAAGAAGGCTAAAGAAACTATGGTAAAGTATATATTTAGTATTTAAATTATCAATTTTTATTTGTTTTAGTATCTAAACTTTTATTTTTTAAATTATACTTAACGTTTAGTTTATCTTTCATTTTAGTATCCCATCGTTAAAAAATTAATGGACAGGCTGACGTGACATAGCTTCGGTGGACGGACGACCAATTTGAATGGTGGACCACAAGAGAATGATGAGTTTACCAATATAATTCAGTTTCAGGTACATTGAACAATGTACCATGGAGATTGAAAGATGAAGAAATAGAAGATTTCATCGTCAATTTGGGGAGATTGAGGTGTTTTCTTATGAAACAAAGGCCAAAATCGAGTTTAGAGGATTGATAAGGTGCGGGTTGGAAATTTTAGGCTTCATCGACCGATAGATGCGACGGTCAGTGACTGTAGACATGATGACCGACGAGCCCATCTGCTAAGTTTTTAACAGCATGTACTAAAATGAAACAAAAACTAAACATTAGGTATAATTTTAAAAAACTAAAAGTTTAAATAAAAAACAGATCAAAACTAATAGTTTAAGTACTAAATACGTAATTTACCCAAAAAAACTAACCAAAACCCAACCTGAACCCACCTCCCACTCCCCTCTTTGTTCCTCGTCATTCCTTGAATTTCCGCCTATATATTTCCATTTCCTTGTCATTTTTCCTCGAGCAGATTCAAGTCTCAGCAGAGCAGAAAAACAGAACCAAAATATAAAAAAAGGAAGGGAATTTTTTTATTGTTTAATTTAAGGAAAATATTTAAAAAAATCCTTCCTTTTCTTCTTTGATTTCCCCTTATGAAGAGATCGTAAAATTTCCAAGGATCCTCTTTCGTTTTTTTCTTTTTGTAAATTTGTTTATATAAATCTGAGTTTGTTTTTGATTTTATCGGTGGTGTTTGGGAATAATTAATATGGGGACTGAAGTTTTATGGCCTCAGGATTGTTTGATCGACCTGATCTGCGTACTGCCGATGGCATGTCCTCGACGGAGATACGCAAATGGTAGGTTTAATCCTAGTAGTCATTATTATAACCATAACAATAACAATGGAAACGGTAGATTCTACAGGAAACCCTTTCAGAGGAAGCGGGTCGGATCAGATCAACCAATTTCGAAGAAATACAGCTCTGCTGATGTCTTGAAGACGGTGAGGAACAGTGTTACGATGGATAAGGTTACGATTTTGAGACGAGGTGAGTCGTTGGATTCGAAGATCAAGAACATCAACGGTGGTGGAAGGGAAGAGGGGTTTGTTGTTACGGGTACGGATCGGTTAGGACCGGATCTGAAGATGGTCCCGAAACAAATCAGAATTGTGGATATCAAGTCTTCCGTGACCGGAAAATCCGACGTGTATGCCGGATCTGCTTTCTTCGTTTCTCCGGCGCCGAGTTCTCTTCCTTTACCTTCTTTCTCGAAGAAGAAAGAGGTTCCGGTTGATGATTCAGCTACCAGGGATCTTCGGCGGTTGCTCCGGTTGGATCTCTGAGATCCGAGAACTTACCCGAATTAGATTTGGATCCTAATAAGCCTTCTCGCTTATTTATCTATTGGCCATTTCGTCTCTATTAAGCTCCCCGGAATTTTCAAGATCCGATACCCCCCGTGATATTTTTTTCAAGACGGTGGACGGATTTGAAAATCTGGGAAAATATTAGGGGCGATTAGGTTAACATTTCAAAATGTATCAGGCCATGCGTTAAAAGAGCAGGGGGATTTGTTTAAGAGAAAAGAAAATGAAGGGTGGTGGTATGTAATATTTGGGGGGCGTGAGCTGAGTTTGTTTTGAAATATTGGGATTTGAAAATGCTTTTTCTGCTCCGCTATGTCGAAAGTCTGCAAGAGATTTGCAATTTAGTCCCTTTTATGTAAAGTACAAATAAAATTAGGGAGAAATATGAGCAGATTTCTATTATTATTATTATTATTATTATTATTATTATTATTAATATTAAAATAAGAGTCTAAATTATATTATTTTTCTTATAATGAGTATATATTTTTTTAGTTAATTTAGATGACTAATATTATAAATATTATCACTTTTGTTTTCACATCCATAACAATTGTTAAATAGTCTCGTTAAGTGATACATATCACGTTATGATAATTTTAAAAATTTTATTTAAAATAAAAAAAATGAAATTATATTTTTTTAAAATACAAAAATTTGAAAAACTTTAAAAAGAATCTCAAAACTTTGAAAATTTTAATTTTAATCTCTAAACCCACCCATGTTGTCGCCTTTTATTGTCATTGAGTCTTTACTCGACGGCCAATAATCACATGAAAATCAACCGGAAAAGGAACCAATCGATGGCAAAGATGATGAGACTTGATTAGGGAGATGGTAAGGACGACATCGACGGTGATGGCCTTTGCCTGCAAGGATGACATTGACGGATTAAGAATTTAGGATTTTTAGAGATTTTGAGATTTTTTGTAATTTAAGAGAAATTAAGATTTTTTTAAATATAATTATATTTTTTTATTTTTTTTAAAAAAATAAAAATTTTAAAATTATTCGAACATAACACATGTCATTTAATGAAACTTTTTAACGGCTGTTATGGCCAGACACTTAAAGTGGTAATGTTTATAACGTTAAGTACTTGGATTGATCGGAAAAAAAATTAAACATCACTTTAAAAAAAGATATAATTTAAACACTTATTTTTATATTAATTCTTATTATTATTATAAAGTTTTCCGACCTTTGTTTTAGTTTGTAAAACAGTGGAGTTTTTGGAGTTGAAATTTTCCGGGGTTGAGAAATATTTATGAAAATCAAGCAATGAATCTAAAGACCATATTCTCTTAGGTCCCCTTGTAAGAAATCATCATTTGATGGGTAGGAGAAATTATCATTGAAAAGAAATGTGATTGAAACCTCAATCCTTTGAGTAGAAACAAATTTTTGAATGTTATTTATATATTTTTGGGTTGAGATGTCTTCTAACGTATGAATCATATTTTAATTATTTTTTAACGTATTTTTAAATATCTCAATCAGACGTTAGAAACTCAAGATATGTTTATTTTAACGAAGATAGTGCAAGTATTTTGTATTAATTATAAATTTTAAAATTCAGTTATATTTATCGTACCATCGTACCCATATTATATAATTTTAAAAATTATCATTTTACGTCTTCGTCTTTGTCTTTGCAACTATCCCCGTATCCATATTAGTGCAACATAACCCGTAACCATTCAAAAAATCAACATTTTTTTTTGGATAAGTTAAAAAAAATCAACATTTGGTGGCCAGTAGATGTTCATTTTCGCTCCCACTTATTTCGCCTCAGCTTTCCCAAACACTGCTTGATATCGATGATGAATCCGAACCCAACTATGCTTCCAAAAGAAAAAAAAAATATCAGTATTTTCTTATATAAAAACTCAAAATTTTTAAGAGAACGATTCCTACTTAGGTGTGAGCATTTGATCGAGTTGAGTAAAAAAAATTGAGTTATTCAAGTTGATGAGTCATATTTTGTAACTCGAACTTAACTTGAAATTTTTTTCAAGTCGAGTCGAGTTATTCGAGTTTCTAAACGAATTTTATTATAATTATTTATAGTATTATGGTAAGGATTGATTCTAATTTTTTGATTTTCTCTAACCATGTAAGATAAATATATTTCATCATATTCTTTAAACAATATAATGTTATTTAATATATCATATACAATCTAAAATTATTAAATATATTTACAATATTCTATTTTTTTAGGGTAAAATATGGCTCAGAGTATACAAGAGTTAAGGAATTTATGCTTATGGCGAGAGTATACAAGAGTTAAGGAATTTATGCAAAGAAAAAACTTGCAAACAATTTTAATCAAAAGATTAAATTGAGTAAAATGCAAAGTTACGAGACTAAATAAAAAATAGTATATTTATAGTAAAAAATAAAAATTGAAGTTACATATGTATTCTATAAAAATTGAAGTCACTCAACTATTAAAAGTTATTAAATGGTCACCCGATTATTCATATGTTCCAAACTCGTCCTTTTTTGTTACAAAAATTTATGACAGTTTAAGTTGGACATTAGCATGTTGATAGGGACAGAGCTAGAAAATTTGTTTAAAAATTAAATTTTGAGTATCAAATTTAGAAATTATATGAAGAATTTTTTTTAAGTGAGAATTTTGAGTTTTAAATTTTTTATTGTTAAATATTTTTTAAAAGATGAGATCAATTTCTTTTTTAAAGAGTGACAAAACATTTTTAAAAAAGGTGTCTTTTTCTTTTTATATTATATATATAATTTATAAGAGAAAAAAACATTTTGGAGTATCAATTGACACCTTCTATACATATTGGTTCCGCCAGTGCTTGTTGAATAAGATATAATAGTCATTTGAGATTTTAAGATCATATTTTATCTTATCACAATCAATAGGTCAACGTCCAGTTCAGATAATCGTCAATTTTTAATAGAAAATGATAAGTTTGGAACATATGAATCAACACCCTATAGTCAAAAGACTATTTTGTAACATTTTATAGACGAAGACTCAACAAAGCAACGTCTTATAATCGAATACCATTATATACCTTGCCCTAATTTATATCAATCAACTTGGTAACAAAACTAACAACTTTTCTATTATTATTTTTTAATCAAATAACTTTTCAATTTTAAACCATCTCAATCTTGACATGCAGTTGTGAATTTTTCAAAGGTCAAAAAGTAAACTATATAATTTAAAGATTAAAATATAATTTTATCATCACATTAATTTATAATTTTATAATTTTAAAATAATTAAAATTTTATCATAACTAAATTAAAATTTTAATTTATATAAAATATAATTTTATCACAATTTAAAATTTAAAGGAACAAAAGTTAATAATTTCTTTTATCACTTTAAGAGCGAGCAAGATAAATAGAATAAGTTAAATTAGAAGAATAAATCTAAAGGTAAACTTTTACAAGAATTAATCTAAATTAATTAATTAATAAATTAAATATGGATAGTTATAAAAAATCTATTATTGCTACAATTGGTAATTTCAGGTAAACCATATCTCCAATAGGAAAAACCCTCTCTGATCGTTTTTTATCTACATGTTGTTTCATTCAATTACTAGCCAATTCCAGTTGTTTTTTAACCAACTGTCTAATTTCCTCTCTGTTGTTCATGACATCATTTACTAATTGTACTGTAGACTTTGTAGGCCAAACCATAATATGTGGTTTGTATCCATATAATGCCTGGAAATGAGTAAGTTTTAGAGCAGTGTGGTAAGAGGTGTTATACCACCACTCTGTATGGGGTAGCCATTTGGCCCACTGTTTAGGTTGAAAGAAACAAAGGCCTCTAAATACTTCTCCAAACACTGATTTACTCTCTCTGTTTGGCCATTTGTTTCTGAATGATAAGCAGTGCTGAAAAGGGTTTTAGTACCTAACTATTTCATCAATTCATTCCAAAAAGCACTAGTGAAAATTTTATCTCTGTATGAAATAGCCATTTTAGGCTGGCCATGCAACTTATGAACATTATCTAGGTATAGTTTAGCTACCTCAACTGCAGAATAAGGATAAGATAATGGCAGGAAATGATTGTATTTGGTAAACTTATCCACTATTACCATAATGCAATTTTTCCTGAGGGAAGTAGGTAGACCCTCTATAAAATCTATAGTAATGACTTCCCAGGCTTGATTAGAAATAGGCAGGAGTTGTAGCAGACCAGACTTTGCTATATGTTCTACCTTAGTTTGCTGACAAATCTCACAACACCTCACATAAGTAGCAAGCATAGCTTAAGTCTAGGCCAATAAAAATTTGACCTAATCTTGTGCTCCTGAATGACCACCTTGAGGAGAGTCATGCAAGGTTTGAAGAATTTTCAATCTAAGGCTTCCAGTAGCCCCAATATATAATTTGCCATTGTATATGAGAACACCCTTTGAATACTTCCATTTCGTGTCAACAGTAGGATTGATAGTTAGGATTGAAATCTAATCCTTAGCTAAGGTATCTCCCTAATAGCTGTTGTCTACCTCTTGAACCCAACTAGGTATTAAAACTGTTACCCCAAAGTAAAACATTGAACTTGGTCTTCCCATATTCTAGATAAGGAATCTACAACTACATTTGATTTTCCTTTTATGTACTGTATAGTTTAGTCTAATCCTAGCAGTTTGGTCAACTCTTTCTTCTGAATAGTGGTAGTCAACTTCTGCTTTAAAAGAAACTTTAAGGGTTCATGGTCAGTGTTGATGACAAAAGGTCTACTTTCCAGATAATGTCTCCATTTTGAAACATCTAATAGAATAACAAGATATTCACATTCATAAATGGAAAGTGTTGAGTGTCTAGGGCTTAGAGCTTTACTCAGATAAGCAATAGGTCAACCATCATATGAAAGTACAACCCCTATACCACCAGAAATAGCATTTGTTTCTAAATAGAAACTCTTAGAAAAGACTGGTAATGCTAAGACTAGAGCAGAACACATAGCTTTTTAAGGTTTTGAAAAGCAGTATAAGCTTCATAATTCCAATGGAACCCATCTTTCTTTAACAGTTGTGTCAAAGGTCTGCTAATAATTCCATAATTTCTGATAAACCTCTTGTAGTACCCTGTTAAACCTAGAAACCCATATAGAGACTTAAGG